TACCTACATGGACCAATGGATGCAGGAACAAAGCTTAAGGTCAAATTCAGGACCGGGGACATGGGCCTTCGAGAACGTCGACGAAGACATAGGACGGTAGACGACGAAGACGACCAGCTCAAATGTGATTGCGGCTTCGAATGCGAAGACCGTGTTCATGTAGTCGCGGAATGTCCGTGGTACAAGAAGGAGAGGGAAGTGTACGTGGCTGAGCTGGGACAAATAGATGGGACGTAAAGGGAGATGTTTGAGGCAGGGAATAGAGAGGAAAGGACGGTAGCTGTACTGGGGCATAGGAGGTGAGTTGAAAAGGTGGGAAGGGATGTCGTTAGGATGGACAGACTAGGGAAGACATTTTTGAGCCACCTTTTGGCAAAGTAGGAAGGAACGATTGGCCATCGGTGATCGTTCCTGNAAGGAGAGGGAAGTGTACGTGGCTGAGCTGGGACAAATAGATGGGACGTAAAGGGAGATGTTTGAGGCACGGAAAAGAGAGGAAAGGACGGTAGCTGTACTGGGGCATAGGAGGTGAGTTGAAAAGGTGGGAAGGGATGTCGTTAGGATAGACAGACTAGGGAAGACATTTTTGAGCCACCTTTGGCAAAGTAGGAAGGAACGATTGGCCATCGGTGATCGGTCCTGTGGGAACAATGCTCCGTCCTCNGCTGTTCCTGCGTGCGCCGGTGCAAACCCGTAATTAAAAAAGGTAAAAACGACAGGCAAGAAGCGTGGGATGTACCCCAGCAAACTGCGCACCATTTCTCCAAATGCAAGATCACCGGAGTTTTAGGTGTCTGGCTCGTGGCATTCTGAGGTTGCAATCTTCCGTTTATTTTGTTTTTTTTTCTGAGATTCCCCCCCACCCCCCCCTCCTTCGTATCCCAAGAAGCTGCGCACCACTTGTCCAAAACTGAGCGGAGTCTCGGGTCTCTGGCTCGCGGCATTCTTCCGTTTTTTTTTAGATCCCCTCCCCCCCCCCTTTTTGCACCGTCGCAAACCTGGCAACAAAAAAATCAGCCAAGCGTGCACAACTGGAGAGGGGAGACGCAGGGCCGCTGAAACCGAGCGACCTGTTGAAGGCGCGGGAGACCCTGGCGAGGGATGGACGGGGCCCGCCGCTGCGATCGCCTACGACGCGTGACCGCGGGTTGGCGGGCGTGCAGGGCAGAAACGGCGGCGGCGGGAGTTTATTGGGAGGGCCAGGCGTGCTGACAAGAGGCAACCCTATTTGATTCGAAAGAAAGGGGGATGCCGTCTGTTTATGGGTGCAGGAGGGGGAGAAAAGAGGGTGTGTCTGTTGCTGTGCATCGTGTGGTTGCGATGCTGACGCCATTTTGTCTTTTTTGTGTCAAATATGTACAAGTTCAAATAGAAAAGCAGCGTGTGAAAAAACCTTTCGATGGGTGTGGTGGCGTCAAGACTGTACATGAGCGCACTGCAATAGAAATAGCAAAACATGTGTTTGTACCTTGTGCATTTTTTTCCGTTTCGGTTGTTGTGTTGTTCACGCTGCTCATCTTGGGCACGTGCAGCGTACAGAACGATCGATTCCGGGTGTGATCGGGAAGGGAGGCATCAATCAAACCACGTTGCGCAGGGTAACGCGCCTTACAGAACGCCGTCGCATTCGTTCCTTTGTGGTGCGTGTCGTTCGCGAGATGTTGCCCCCGTGGGTCAACGCGACACGCGGCACCAAACGCCTGCCTGGAGGATCAAATTTCTACTTTTTAGAAGAGAGTCCAAACACAGGGGGGCTCCACGAAGGGGGAAGCAAGCTGCTTACGCGCTTGTTGCCATGCATATATTCGTCGTCGTTTCGCCACACCTGGAAAGTGACGTGAAGTGGGTCGCACGCATACTTGCGGTGCTTCCTTTTCGCAGTTGCACTGCATTGCACCCCGTGCTCTTGGTCACTTTTACAAATTTACGGCAGCACAAAGGCAGCAATGGTTGGGCAAAAGCACTCTCGCAACAAGAACAACATATTTTTGTCGGTATTTTTTTTATTGCCTTCACTTCATATCAGCGCTCACAGCACTGATGCCGTTTACTCCGACCCGTGGTCACACAGCCCCGGTGGTCTGTGGGTAGCCTCGCAGCCTGCTAAGGGCCAGGTCATGGGTTCGAGTCCCGGCAGAGAGAGTTTTTTCTCACTAAATAAATCCTGGTCTAGGATGAAAGCGACGCGCTGCAAAGCTCGTTCGTTAGTAAACCATAATCGACTTCGTAAGTCGCGAGGGAAGGGATTGCTGTACCCTTCTCGCGATAAAAATACCTCAGGCATGAACCGCAGGAGGGGGTCCAACCCCCCCCTCCTATGTGACCCCGGTTGGGTCGTCTAGCTAGTAGAAGTGGAGGATAGGGGCCAGAGGGGCAGACGACAGAGTCCAATGATGGGAGAAAACAACAGAAGAGCCCCTTTCTACCCTCCCCTCCTGCGGTACTTTGCCTTCGATTTGTAATGCGAGAAGAGTTCAGCACTCTCTTCCCTCTGTGTACACACGAACTAGCGCTATCCACTAGGCCAGGAGCGGAAGCGAGAGAAAAACTCACTTTGCAAGAAAAGCTCGCTTACGCCGGGATTCGAACCCCTGACCTGACCTCTAGAAGGTTTCGTGGATGCCAACTAGACCACCGGGGCAACAGGCATGGGGCACAGGTGGTCCGGCCTTGGGTTATTACGTACGCCGTGGGACCAAATTTTTCTCGTTGTCCCCATGCCCGTGGTGGGGGCCCCCACAAAATATGCCAGCGGTTTTGACCACAGCCAACACTCAAACGACATGAACAGGTTCTACTCGGGTTGTTTGCTATCAGGAGGAGCTACCACTGCTGCACTGCTGTACACGATGAAGCACAGGTTCACAACATGGAAAGGGATAGCAGGCGAGGTTTGATAGATGACAACACCCAAACAGTTCTTCGCCATCAGGAGTTGCGTTGAATTCACGAGAAAACGTACTCCGGCGGAGAAAAGGTACACACATGAATGGACCCCAAAACAGCTGTTACCTCTGTTGCCCCTTCAACAACGGACGGCCTCACGGAATATATATAGCCTAGTACCACAAGGCAAGCCTTGTAGGCAATTGCCCCGTAAGCCTGAGCAAGCACAAAACCATGTGATCGTCACCGGTGGACCAGGGATTTCAACCAATCAGGGATTTCCTAAAAAAGAATAAAATTGACCATTCAGAAAACTGTGGGCACAGCTTCACTTGCTGGCTGTAGGCTGCTCTATCAGAGCCCTACTCTGCTCGTACGAGCGGTACGCAAAGTCACATTCCATCGTGTTTGTTGCGAAATGTCCTGTCTTTACACAAACAAACCAGTCTCAGCCTCTGGCTTCGTCACCTCTTCTCTCCCCCGCCCATAAGGTAAAAAAGGCACGGATTACCGTGTCGACAGGCTAGACTCCCACCACGAAATACAGAAGGGTACAAGGGATGAAAACCAACACAGGATGAACACCCTTACAGCGGGTGCTTAGTCCTAGGAGACGATAACATCCTTAAAGCATGTCACCGTTAGCGGAGTGAATCTCCTGTAAAGGCCTGCAGGGAAAACACACCATCAAAGATTAAGAAAACCTATAGAACTAACAAAACTCGTCCACCCCTCCACCGACACTTCAGCAACACACGGAGGTAAAACATACAACAATACCGACATTCTATTGCATCCCGGCATCGTGACGAGGCTTTTCCAGAGGAGTCTGTGCACCCCCCGCCCCGAGATCGAGAACAATTTCGACTGAGCAGTAAGTTGTCCATGTGGTCATGCACGCTACTGCAAAAAAAAAAAACAGCACCGAACTGTGTCTCGACGCAAATAGACATACGGGCGAAAAATCGCAAAAGAGGCGAGCAAGCCAATGTTGACGTTACAAAAACACCGGGCCACCGCGGTCATTCCATTCGGAGACGCGGGGCCGAAAGGAGTGAAGAACGAAGCGAAACAATGGCTTGCTCCACCACTATAGTTCCTCCTCAGGAGCGGTGCGACATGTTTGTGCGCATTGCTCGGGACATATATAGCATAGCACCGCTCCCAGTCACACGCTCTTGCGTCCGGTCTATTACTTTAGTACCTGCTGCGCCCCCCC